GTTTAGCGGGGTGGCTTTGGTGGTTTAGGAGCCAGCTGGCAGCAGTGCAGGGCTGACATCTGGCCGGCTCACAGAAATCTGTCCGGAGGGAGGGCATGGCTCTGCTGGGACAGCAGTGGGTGCATCCCCTCCGGGTGGATGCTGAGTGTTCAGAGTGGTGCCGTGTCCAGGGCTCCCACCTGGGCAGGAATGCTGAAGTGCCGGGATTGGGATCACTGCCTGGCTCTCCCCGTTCCCCTGCACCTGCCCTCGGAGCAAAAGGGGAATTTCCTGCTGCAGAGAGGTACGTGCTGCACAGGTTCCCAAGCAGGGCTTCCTTGTGCTCGCCTCCCTGATTGCTTTTGCTTTTGAAAAGGGCTTAAACCCAGCCATTTTAATACTCGGTAGAACAAGTATTAAAGGAGATCCTCAGGTGCTTATTTGTTTCCATGAAAAAGGATTTGCTCAGAGCAATTTTCCCAGGCTGTGGGCCCAGAGGGGTGCACAGCATTCCCTGAGGCAGAGAGAAGGTGACAAGGGGATTTAGGAGAGACTGGTAGGGGCCCATCCTGCGCATCCTTGGCATGTTTGGTGGTAGAGAATGCATAATTTCTGTTCCTGATCATACACTTTCCATCCCAATTTCAGTCCTGTTACAGTCACACCTGCAGCTGCTGAGCAGTCACGTTCCCAGACTTGTTCCCACATTGAGCAATCCCTTGCAGGGGCCTGGCTGCAGCAGCACTCAGCACATCTGCTCTGGACACAGCCATTACTTCTAGATTAACATCCTTGAGTTCTGAGACTTCTTCCAAGAGTCTTCTCTCCAGGAACTGGGGGAGCTCTCAGCCCTTCTCTCCAAATAATTCTGTGCACGGAAATGCTTCTGCACGTCTGTTCTGCATCCCCAGCTGAGGCACCACAGGCCTGGGCTTGCAGCCACCACGGGCTGGGGAGTGCAGTCACACTGGGTGGTGTCAGCCCTGTCCTGGCTGCACAGGGGGGTCCTGGCTGCTCTGTGTTTTCAGGGGGGATCCATGAGCACAGCGTGGCAGTAGCAGGGGAGAAGGGGCTGGGCAGTATTTGAGCAGTCCCATCTGCTGTCTGAGCCGCAGCAGACACTGGGGAAGGGAATATTCTGGTCTGCACTCGGTGCCAAGGCTGTCCCTGAGCAGGGAGGGCTGTGAGCCATCAGTCCCAGTGCTTTTCCAGCTGCTGGCTCCTCCGGTGGGGCTGTGCTGCTTGCAGCGCCACATTCCGCTCACACCGACCCCCGGGATTATCCAGCTGCTCTATCTAGGCTGGCTGAGCCTCTCCAGAGCTTCCCCTCAGGCCATCCCTCCGTGGAAAAGCCCATTTTTGGGAGGTACAGAGTGCCTGCTGCCAGGGTGGGTGAGAGCAGCCGTGCCCAGGCAGGATGCCCGGGGCACAGGAGATGTTCCTGCCAGGCTGTGAGCGTTATCCCTCCCCAGGAGCCTGGCTGAGGCATTCTGCCTCTGCTCTTGTCCTTGGCTCTGGCAGAGGTGGCTCTGAATGGTGCAAGTCACTGGCAGCCTGGGTGGCAGAAGAGCAGGGTGAACCCGGGGCTGCCAGGGGGAGCTGCCCCCCACAGCCAGCTTGTGTTTGTTGTATTTTATGGGTTTGAGTGGTGAGCCAAGGGCAGCCAAAGCTGTGCCAGTGCCTGAGCACAGTGTGCAGTGAGACAGCAGTTCTGGAGGTGTGTGGGAAAGTGTCCTGTGCTGTCCTGGCAGCGCAGTGACACCAAACACAGCATTTTCAGTGCCAGTCCTGTGCCAGCCTGTGGAGGCACCTGGATAAAAGCTGGTGTGGTTGTGGCATTGTGGCAGCCCTTCCTGCCCCAGTGCTGGCTCTGTGCCTGGCCCCAGCCTGGCACAGGACATCACCTGGCACTTTCTCAGTGGCACAGAGTGCCAGGAGAGCCACCACTGCTGGGTGCTGAGGTGGCCCAGCTGGGTGAGCCAGGAGCAGGCACTGCCAGGACAGGAGGATTTATCCTGTGCTGCCAGGGGGCACAGGGCAGTGCCAGCCACAGCAGTGTCCCTGCTCTCTGCGACCTGTGGGACGGGGACACTCAGACCAGGGGCTTGCAAAGCCTTTAAGCTCCTCCTGGGATGGGCACAGCAGAAGGGCCAGGGATTATGCCTGTGCTGGGTTTGAGGATGGATAACAGCATTCAGGGTCCTTCTGCTGATAACAGGGCAGGAGCTGCTGCCAGGCAGGAGGAAGGCTGGTCAGGCAGCAGGGAAGGAGTGATGCCAGCCTGGTTCTGCACGTGGGGCAGGAGGGCAGAGGGGCCCAGCCTGTGCCCTGAGTGAGGGCTGACTCAACTTCTTCTTTCCTTTTTGGGAAATCCAAAGGATTTTGCTTTTCCTGGCATCTTCCCAGCCCCTCGGTGACACGACAGAAATAAGGGCCAGGAACATGTTGAGCCCCTTGCCCAGCTGCCACGGGGGTCCTGCTGCCCTCCCACTGCTCAGCTGGACACTGCTGCAGACAGCAGGGGCTGGGGAGGATCTCAGGATGCAGCTACCTGTTGGTCTTTTAAATCAACTCCGCTTGCTTTTCCCTGGATTTTAACTCGTGCTGACGTAGTGATTTGCATTTCTTTGGATTAGCAGCTGGACTTTGAAAAATGGGTTTAAAAGCCTTCAGAGCATGTGAAGTGCCCTGGTCTGTGTGGCCCCTGCCAGCCCCGAATTCCTGGGGGGTATCTCAGGGCAGGGAAGGTCCCAACACATTCCCTTGGGACTGTTTGAAGCCAGATGTGCAGTGGAGCCTTTCTGGTGTAAAATATTTTGTCTCCATCCCTGATTTTGTTCATCTTCTGACCAGAAGATTTCCATGGCTCAGCAGGTTGCTGTGCTCAGTGCCACTATCCAGCACTTGCAGGGAGCTGTCCCAGTGCAGTGTTGACTAACACCTCCCCAGAGGGCTGGCAGGGGGATTGCCCGTGCCTGGCACAGCCCTGGCCCTCATGGTTACAGGGAAGCCTTTAAATACACACTCAAAGGTCAAATGCTGGGAGACAAAGGTTCCCCAGCCCAGGTACTTTGGTTACTTTATGGAGATCTGGAGAATTCCACCTGATTTTGGGGGGTTATTTTGCCGTTGGAGGTTTAAAGGTTCCCCAGCCCAGGTACTTTGGTTACTTTATGGAGATCTGGAGAATTCCACCTGATTTTGGGGGGTTATTTTGCTGTTGGAGGTTTATGGCTGGCACAGCATTGCTGAGCCAGTGGTTCTGCACAGAAGCTCGGATCTCCATCCGTGGATGGTGTGTGTGTATCCAGCACAAGCTGTGTTCCCGTGGGTGTCCAGGCTCATTCCCCTTCCTCTTGGAGTAGCCAGATCTTGTAAGGAGGTGTGTACCCTGTGAATGTGTTACAACTCAATTTAATACGTGACTAAACCAGCCATGCAATATTGCAATTAAAGTATAATTCCAGAGGTGTGAACAATGCTGGCTCTTTGCTGGAGTGAGTCAGGGGAGCGGAGGAGGAAGCAGCAGCAGTGTTTTATTAATTGACTCCAGTGGATTTATTTGTCCTCAGTGAATAGAGCCGGGCAGAGCTGTCGGAATCGTTCCTGCTCTGCTCGCACTGCGCTCTCCATGCCTGGCTCCTGGCAAGCTCATCCTGGGCACTGAGAATCGCTGGGATGGAGGCAGTTCCTGGCTGAGTGACCAGTTAAATGGATGTAATGAGTGAGCAGGAGCGAGCTGGGGGCTCCTGGTGCTGTTTGGAAATGGTCCCCTGTGCCCAACAGTGATTCTGCTGCTGCTTTTCCCTGGGTCCTGTCCTGCCTGGGAGCCAGTGCCACGGGGAGGTGGCACTGGATGGCCCCTGGTGACTGGTGCAAATGCTTCCAGGATTACACAAAAGCCAGGGAAGGAGAGCAGAGCGTGCCTGGAGCAGGAATCATCCCTGTGATTCCTCTGGTACCAAGTCAGAGCAGCGCTGTCCCTGGGGATGAAGGTGGGGTAAATTAGCAGTGGGGCAAAAAGTGAGCTTCTCCCCGAGCTCCTGCTGAGTTCCCCATCTATTGCAAGTGTGTTTTGTTCTCAGCAGCCTCTGGAAGCCCCTTGGAGCAGCTCGGGGCTGTGGCTGGCACAGGGGCTGAGCACTGGGGACGTGGCTGTCACACATGGTCTTGCTGGGCAGGGGAGAGCCCAGGTGACCTTCAGAGGTGACTGCTTCTCTTAATGGCTTGGAATCTGATTATACCATTTTGCTAAGAAATGTGCTTGGCACGTTCTTCTGCATTAAATACCATTTAGGGACAGTTATCCTGAACTCTCTGCCTGCCGCTTAGGAAAAAGCCTTTGAAAATTATATTATGGATCAAAAGTGTTCTTGGGGTAATTCTGTTTCAAACAGTGGAGTTAATCCAGAACTGAATTTGGCCCTGCATTTTCAAACGAGAAGCAGTAGCTGTATAATCTGTTTATGGTTTTAAAGTGAATGTTAATCTTGGATTTGGTAGCTTTTCCAAAAGGTCGATTCGCCGTGCTGCCGAGCATTTTAGCCCCCTGCTCTGACACTCTCATGGAGCCGACTCCATGTTTTATTTTAAGAGTGATTTTACTGTGTTTATAAATACACGTCAAACCTGGAAACGTTAAATCTGGGCAGCCCTGAGCAGTGGAAGTAATGCCACTTTTCTTGCCTTGCATTTTGCCGCTACAACTCCTGGCGTGGCACGTGCAGGCTGGCTGCAGGGATGGCTCAGTCCCACGAGGATGGGTGGAACGGAACCAACTGTCCCCTGCTGAGACAGGGGAGCCCCTGGGTGCTGTCCCCTGGGTGCTGCCCTGGGTGCTGTCCCTGGGTGCTGCCCTGGGTGCTGCCCCTGGGTGCTCTCCCTGGGTGCTGTCCCTGGGTGCTGTCCCTGGGTGCTGCCCTGGGTGCTGCCCCTGGGTGCTGCCCTGGGTGCTGCCCTGGGTGCTGTCCCTGGGTGCTGCCCTGGGTGCTGCCCTGGGTGACTCTGTGTCCCCTCCGCAGGTGGGAGGATGCAGCCGTGCGCCGGGGGCTGACGCGCGGAGCCGCCGGCCGCGGGGAGCGGGACCCCCGCCGCCCACCCATGGTCCCGGCTGGCAGCCGGGGCAGCCCCCCGTGAGGAGGGGCACGGGCACGGCCGGGACGCGGGCAGCGAGCCCCCGCAGCCATGACGAGCCTGTTCCGCCGGAGCAGCAGCGGCGGCGGCTCCCGCGGCGGCTCCTCCGCCCAGGAGCTCAACAACAGCCGCCCCGCCAGGCAGGTGCGGCGCCTGGAGTTCAACCAGGCCATGGAGGACTTCAAGACCATGTTCCCCAACATGGACTACGACATCATCGAGTGCGTCTTGAGAGCCAACAACGGCGCCGTGGACGCCACCATCGACCAGCTGCTGCAGATGAACCTGGACGGCAGCGGCTGTGACGACAGCTCGGACTCGGAGGACAGCATCCCCCCCGAGGTACTGCCTGGGGCTCCCCTCTCTGGGCTCTGCCTTCCAGGGCTGGGTCGCCATCCGTGGGCACAGCAGTCTCATCCTGCCTCCTCCTGCCTGGGCACGGTGCTGCTCAACTGCTGCAGGCAGGCAGAGTGCCCAGATCAGCTGGGTTGCTGCACCAAAGATTGTCTTGGGCAGTGCTTGAGGCTCGAGCCAAGTGTTCTCCCCCCCTCTCCCTAACCCCAAAACCCAACAGAGACCCTTCTGCTGCTGTCAGAGAGACTCCCTGCAAGGATAGGCTCAGCCACCCTCTTCCCTTGAAATCAGTACCTCCAAACTCCACCAAACCCCCCCTGGGTGCAGGAGGCCCAGTGCCAGCACGTTGCCCCTCTGCAGCAGCATTCAGCCTGTGCCCTGCCTGTTTTGCTGCTGCACGTGGGGCTGTGGCCACTGGGGAGCATCTCCTTGTCCTGCCCTCACCCCATCCTCTCACCTGCAGATCTTGGAGCGGACCCTGGAGCCGGACAGCTCGGACGAGGAGCCCCCTCCTGTGTACTCCCCTCCTGCCTACGAGAGCCAGGCCTTGGGCAGCCGCTACCCCCGCGCCCCACCCACGCCCCCGCCCAGGTGAGCCCCAGCCCCACAGAGCCCCCGCTCCTGGGCACCTGTGCCAGCACGGGGGGTCAGGCAGTGTCAGCAGCCCCTGCTCCTGGGCACCTGTGCCAGCACGGGGGTCAGGCTGTGCCAGCACAGGGGGTCAGGCAGTGTCAGCAGCCCCTGCTCCTGGGCAGCCTGTGCCAGCATGGGGGTCAGGCTGTGCCAGCACGGGGGTCAGGCAGTGTCAGCAGCCCCTGCTCCTGGGCACCTGTGCCAGCACGGGGGTCAGGCTGTGCCAGCTGGCCCTGGCACAGCCCTCTGGCCCTGCTCCTTATGGGGTCCAGTGAGACAAAGCCAAGGGAGATGAATGAAGCTCACAGCTGGCTCAAAAATCCCTGTGAGGGTCTGAAACACGAACAGCTGAGGGGCCGGAAAGCCGCTCTGGCAGTGTGTGGAATGGCAAAAATCAGCTCCGGGGGCGGGAGCACTCTTTGCTGCTGCTGGAAAACACCAGGTGCTGGGCAGCCCCACCCCGGCTCCTCACACACACCTCGGCTGGCTCTCACTTGGCCCCTGGCAGCACTGCTCTGGCTGTAGCTGTGGGGCAGCAGGTGTGAGCCCTGGGCACCTCTGTGCCTGCCCCTGCCCTCTGTGCAGGCTGGGGGTGACACTGGGTGAGAGACGTTTGTCGGCTTCGGGGGCAAATCCCTGCAGTGCTGGGGCTCCACCAGGCTGGGCTTTGGGAGTCTGAGTGAAACAGGGGGAGAAGGAAAACCCAGCGTGCAGAGTTGCAGGGCAGGGCTTGAAATACAGCTCCCAAATATTCCAAACCCTTTAGGAAAGCTTTCACTCTCCACAGCTGATAGTAACATTGGAGGTTTGAGGATGTGCTGGGGTTTTGGTGTTTCCAGGAGCTGGTGGAGCTGGGCAGGCTCTGCTGTGCCAGGCTCTGCTGTGCCAGGCCCTGTGCCACGCTGCCACAGCAGGTGTTGGTGGGTTTTTGCTGGTGGAGCTGGGCAGGCTCTGCGGTGTCAGGTTCTGCTGTGCCAGGCCCTGCTGTGCCAGGCCCTGTGCCACGCTGCCACAGCAGGTGTTGGTGGGTTTCTCCTGAGCTGTGTTGCCCTGCAGGACGGACGTGCCCGGCCCTGGCAGCTCCGTGCACTACAGGAACTGGAACCCGCCGCTGCTGGGCAACCTCCCTGAGGACTTCCTGCGCATCCTGCCCCAGCAGACAGCTGGCACACAGGTGAGTGTGGCCACCCACCCCTTCCAGCCTGCCCCGTGGGGTGGCATGGGCACCATCCCAGTCCTCAGCCACCCTGAGCCTGCAGCATCAGCACATCTGGGCACCAGGTGTGGACTAACCCGAAAGTTTTGGAGCGTGTCCTGTTCAAGAGACTGAAGCGGGCAAGGGGTGAAAGAGATCTCAGCAAAGCTTAGATATTTTTCCTGCATTATCCCAGTGATTAGTGCCAGAAATGCCACTTGCCATAAGCATCTAATATTTTCAATTATTTGAAAATCTTGCCTGCTGCCCTGGTGAGGAACAGCAGGACCAGTAATGCTCCTAAGGAGAGCAGCACTGCCAGGGCACTTGAGGGCTGCTGCAGTGGAATTTGGGTGGGAAACCTAAGTGCAAACCTGAGGATTTGGCCTGGGAAATCAGAGTCCACATGTGCTCCATGTTTGTTTTAAGCCACAAGGTTTGGGTGCCAGCAGCAGGGCAGGCAATGGGCAGCATCCCATGGGGAACAACATGGGATGCCCAACACATGCTGGGCATCCTGCTCAGCTCCAGGCATAATCTGGGGCCTCCATCGACCCTTTGCTAACACAGGAACCCCTAAATGGATCCAGCACCCTCCTGGCATGGAGAGGGCTGGGGGACTGCAGGCACCCTGCTCCTCGCTCTCGTTTTGTCTCCAAAGGCAGCCTGCCACGTTTTCATGAATGATTGCCCTGCAAGTTGAGCTGCACGGGCTCTATTACCTTTCTGGGAATAGGAGCGTGCCAATTCATTTGGGCTCAGGGGGAGGAGAGGAGCAGCTGCCCTTTTCTTTCCCCAGTAATTGTGTGCTTTTGCTTTTTATGGCTCTCTGGGAGCAGCTACAAATCAGATAAATATTGTAGGCAGGGATGAGGCTGTGCCGCAGCGTGCGGCTGTGCTGCTCCCCAGGTGTGAGGCGTTTGTCAGCAGGACACTGCAGACTCTGCTCTTTGAGATGAGAGATAAAGCAGCCATGCTGCTGAGACCCTTCTCGTACCTCCACAACTTTATACCTCTGCTATGGCACAGCCATAAAGTTAAAAATCCCTGCCAGCCTGTGCTCTGCCAAAGGAGCTCCAAAAGGTTCCCACGTGGGATGTGCGTCCCCTCTGCCCTGTCCCCCTTCCCAAGGGGCAGAGGCAGAGATGCCCTGTCCCCCTTTGTCCCTTTTACCCTGGGCTGTGGGGCAGAGGAGGGAGGGACCCCTCTGGGGGCAGCACTCAGTGCCCATCGGGGCTGGGGTATTACAGAGGGGCAGAAACGCCCGAGGTGCTGCTGCAGGGACCCCCGAGAGCAGCACCCACGGTGTGCCACGTTTGCCTCCCCAGGGCTCCCCCGGGTGCCGGCAGCCCGTGCCACGGGGGCTGGTGCCACGGGGCCAGGGCTCGCTGGAGCAGGAGCGCCGATGGAAGCAGTACCTGGAGGACGAGCGGATCGCGCTCTTCCTGCAGAACGAGGAGTTCATGAAGGAGCTCCAGAGGAACCGGGATTTCCTTCTCGCCCTGGAGAGAGGTGAAAGGGCCTTCAGAAACTTCTGCTTGTTGGACGCGTGCCCTGCTGTGACTCTGGCTGCTGGCAGCAGTGCCCTGCCCGTGGGATCAGGGCTTGTGCCAAAGCAGAGCCAGTACCAGACGTGGCCAGGCTGGGGCTGGGGGTCTGAGCTGCCCGCAGGGGTGGGCTGCTCCCTGGACTCCTGCTCTCCTCCCCCTGCCCACCCCTCTGCAGCATCCCTGGCAGAGCCCAGAATCCATTGCAAGGAGCTTTGGGAATGGGCTCTGAGCCCTCCCCAGCCCTGTCAGTGGTGCTCTGCAGGGTCCTGGCAGCACCGTCACTGCAGGTGGCAGGAAAACCACGGCGTGTGTGCTTGTGGTGGGTGGGCAGTTCCTCTGCTGCTGCGGGCTCCCACCGCAGTGCTTGTGGTGTCTGTGCAGAAGCAAAGCCCCAGCTGCCTCCCTTGCCAGCAGCCTGTCCCTCAGCAGCCACGGGGCTGCGAGGGGAGAGGGGAGCAGAGCCATGTGCTCTGCCTCGAGGGTCTGATCGAGCGGGCACTGCGCTTTTTGTGTTTCAGATCGATTGAAATATGAGTCAAAAAAATCCAAGTCGACTGGTGTTGCTGTCAGCAACGACTTTGGTTTCTCCTCCATATTATCAGGTAACTTCCAAGACACCCATGAGCGTTGTCTCTGCACAGCAGGACCCCCCACAGCCCCTGCATTCCCATCCCTCTGCCCAGCTGCCTCCAGAGTGGCTGTGGAGGGAGGAAATGGCTGATGCCTCCCTGCTGCCCTCCCAGCACGGGAGAGGAGCTGGTGGCTCCTGGGGGTGGGTGCTCCTGCCCTCCCCATGTGGAGGTGCTCCTGCATCCTGCTTCCATCCATCCCTGCCCTCCCTGCCTGGGCTGGAGCAGAGGATTGTGCCTGCAGGCATAATGACTGTTCTGGGTAATCCTGATTAACCTCGGAGCAGAGTAGCTGCCCAGAGTCAGAATTAGAGCTGGTGTCTGTCGATGGCCCCGTGTGGGGCTGGGTGAGCCTGGGCAGCCTGGCAGGGCTCCAGCTGGGCTCACAGACCTGGGGAACAGGGACATGGCTCTGGGTCTCTGGCTCCCTGACCCAGCTGGGCTTGCTCCTGATCCACTGGGTAGCATCATCCAATACCCAGAGCAGAGTCAGAGCCCGGGGGAGTTTGGAGCTGCTGACCCTGCAGGGAGGTGCTGGTGCTGGCACTGAGCACCTGGAAGGGTGTGCTGCCAGCCCACAGCTCTGCACTCCCAGTCCCAGGGGTTGTGTCCCCACAGGGTCCCCATCCAGAGCCAGCACCCTCATCCACCTGCTGTGGCCAGCTCTGCCCTTTGCTGCTGCTGGAGTTGGAAGTCCCAGCCCCTCAGGCCCTCGTGTGAGCCGTGTTTGCCTTGCAGGTGAGGGAGCTCCCTCTGGACCCAGCGAGGCCGGGGCCGTGTCCGACGATGCCTTATTCCGAGACAAGCTCAAACACATGGGGAAGTGTGAGTGCTGGGCAGGGCCCGTGCTGCAGCCTGGCAGGGCTGCAGGGCACTGGGAGTGGGGTGGGCAGGGTACCTGCCACTCTCCCAAACTCATCCTCTCTCTGAGGACTCACAGCCTGCTTTTCCCACCACAAACTAGACCCAGGTCCTTGGGTGGCCCCAGCTGGGCTGCAGGCACTGGGGACACTGGGAGGGGTGGGTAAGGAAGGTCATGAAAATCCCAGAAAAAGGGGAAAACATGAGCACCTCCCAGCAGGGACCAAGGTGTCCCTGTCTCCCTCTCCGAGTCTGGGCATCACCACAGGGTGTTGGGTGTGGGTGGCTCTCACACCCCTGGCCCTGCCCCTCTCCTTTCCCCTGCCCGTGGCAGCTTTGGGAAGGGGTTTTGGGTGAGACCCTCACCCAGCTGCTTCCTTCCAGCCACGCGCAAGAAGCTGTTTGAACTCGCCAGAGCCTTCTCCGAGAAGACGAAGATGAGGAAATCAAAAAGAAAACACTTGTTGAAGCACCAGGTGTATCCTGAAAGGGGCTGTGGGGCAGGGGGCCTCCCCAAGGGCTCCTCTGTGGCTGGGGTGTGGGCTGGGAAGGGTGGCTGTGGTCCATGGCCACATCCTGGCCCCACAGGTGGTTTTCCTTAGCGGAGGGTGCAGGATGGGGACAGCGGCTTCCACGGCAAATCTCCTCGATGACGTGGAGGGACATGCATATGGTAAGGAGTGCTGTGCCAGGCTGTGCTGGCCTTGGCACAGCTGGGTCCACAGCCCCACATCACCCCAGGGCTGGCTCAGGTGTGAACGCCTGGCAGAAATACCCCTGTGGGCCAAAATCCTCCACCCAGTGCTCTGGGAGAAATCCCCCAAGTCCCCCTGGGGATTCTCTCTCTGAGCAAGGAACCCCTGCCCTGGGGAAAGCTGGGCTGCCTCCCCCCGGGCTGCTCCCCGGAGCGGGGCCGTGGTGTGGAGGTGGCTGCAGCCCCCGCCTGCCTCTGCCTTCCAGATGAAGATTTCCAAGCACGGCGGCAGCAGCTCCGGGAGGAGGAGGAGACGCCGAAGGAAGGGCAGTAACCGGTGAGAGGCACCTGGGGATGGGTGATCGCTTGGGTGTGAGTGGCCCAGCGTGGCTGGAGGACGGGCCAGTCATTTAGGCTGGGTCCAGAGAGTGTCCGGGTGGGGACAAGCCCCATCGGTGGCCACGGCTGCTGTCACTGTGTGGCTGAGGCTGAGCACGTGCTCTTCTCTTTCCCCCTTCCCCTCCCTGCAGGTCCCAGCTCTGGGGTTTCTTGCTGGCACAGGACGTGCACGAGGCTTCATCAGGAGATGGCTGAAAAAGGAAAAACCCACCCAACAAATCACACAGATTTTGGCTGTTCCCCCTCTGCTGCTGTACTCCTCTGAAGTACAAGTATCGAAGTGAGGCACGACGTTTTCTTACCGGTGGTTTGAAAACAACTTTTCCTATGGAGAAAATCAGCCAAAAAGGAAAAAAAAAAAGGAAAAAACAAGCGGGCAGCTGCTGCGAGCGGCTGCGGAGGAGGCAGCGAGCTCAGGCTGGGGAGGGCAGCCCCGCCTGCCCCTCAGCTGGCGGCACAGGAGGGATGAAATCAGCCGTACTAACGAGGATCCAGTCCCACGGGGGCCTGCCTGGCCGGAGCACTCCTGAACATATCTGTAGTGGTCTGATGTAACTTCACTCTGCGCACACCGGGACAAAAACCACGTGGGAAAGGGAAGCTAACAGCCGTTGTCTATTATTGCTAGGAGTAATGAGCAGAGGTTCAGATCAGGTGATAGTCAAATAATATAAATTGTTTATAAAAGGAAAGGCCTTCTTTTCCTAGGCGTTTCACTTTGAATTAAACCTTTGCCTTCGGCATTGCTGCAACTGCCTTGAAGTTGGGAAGCTTTGTGCCACGGGGCAGCACCAAGGGCTGGATTTCACACCAGTTTCACCCTCGCTGATGGAGCAGGACATTTCCCACCGGGTGTGGGGTGCTGGGGGTGCTCCCGGAGTCTGGGAGCTCCAGGGATGCCCCTGCTGTAGGTGAGAGGCAAAGCCCAAGCCAGGGGCTGGCAGGGCTGGTGGAGGTGCTTTAGCACGGGGTTTGTGCCAGGGCTTGGGGGCACTGCTGGGTTTGGTGCGGGGCAGGAGCAGAGCCCCTTCCTCGTGCCCGCAGCGCCGGAATCCTGCAGCTCTCAGAGATGCTGTCAGGCTAAAAATAATTACATAAACAAATTCCTTCGCTGTGTAAGTAATGAGTGACGAGCGTAAAGTCAGAATTCGCTCCCGCCAGCACATTTTCTTCTCCTTTATCGGCACAGCGTTCCCTGCCAAATGCAGGAGGTGGCTCTAGACGTGCCTGTTTCACTCCCTGCCTCCTGCCAACCAGCACAAATGTTGCAGGATTGGAGCTGTGAAGGCGGCAGACGCAGAAGCCCCAGCCATCAGACACTCACGCAACTGTTTTCCCTGCCTCTCCGCGGGGTTTGGTAACAAAAGTCCCCCTTGCAGGCGCTGGCTCCCGGCAGGCTCCTTCAGTCCCAGCGGAGCCCGCGTGCCTTTGAAGTGGACGCCAAGATTTCCAGATTTCCTCTCCCGGCAGCGCTGCAGCTGCTGCACCTGTTGAGCGCTGCTGTCGTCCCCTCCAGCCCTGCTGGGGATGGGAGCATCCCCTCAGCTTCACTTTCTCCTGGTTCCTGGCCAGGAGCAGGGCTGCTTCCAGGTGTCTGGGGCTGCAGGCTCTGTGTGGTGTCTCTGTAGCACAAAACTCCTGCAGCACCGGCGCTCAGACGAGTTCTGGGGTGCCGAGGGCCAGGGCAGGTGCAGTGGGCTGGGAACACCCTGGGATGCCAGCAAGCTTTGGGCTCCTAAAATAAATCAAAGCAGCAGAATTCCCACCCCAGCCAGCCCGTACCAGTTTTGGTGTCCTCTCCTTTGCTTTTGAAGACTGAAGAGCAATCCTGAGTCGCGGCAGCACAGTGACAGGTTAAAGCCACCCCAAGCCACGCTGGTGTCCCACACCGTGGGCAGCACCCCTGCTCCTGTGGTGTGCACAACTGCCAGGAGTGCTGCAAGGCACAGGATGCCCCGGGCTGCCCTGCCCAGGGCAGGATGGAGCTCTGGAGGAGCACCTGGCTCAGGGTGCAGGGAATCAGGGAACGGAAAATCCTTTAGTCCCTGGGTGGGATTTCCATTCTGAGAGAGCTGAGGAGAAGGAGGGGCTCCTGGCCTGCCCTCGCTGGCCCTGGGGGCCCTGCGAGGCTGCCGTTCCTGCTTCCCAGTCCAAAGCAGCTCTGCATATTTGGAAGAAAATCAAACTTGGAAGCGGATCAGCCCGTCACCATTCCAGCGCCTCTCCGCCACGGCGGGCTGTGGTGCCAGGGAAGTTTCCATGAGCGCAGGAAGCACCGGCAGGGAATTCTGCAATCCCGGAGCCGGGCTGGCCCCAGGGCCGGGCTGGGCACGGGCTGGCTCCTGGGGATGGGTTGTGCTTCCCTGGGGAGGCTGGCACACGGCCACAGGGCAGTGCTGTGCCCCGCTGCCTTCGGGGCAAAGAGGGGGACACTGTCCCTGCCCCCAGGGTGCTCCTTTAGGGACACCTGGGTCACACCTGGGTCACCTCTGGGAGCCAGCCCAGGTGTGCTGGCTCTGCTTTCTGCCTGAGCTCGTCCCCTCTGCTCCCACTGAGAGAGGGACAGCAAGGAAGGGCAGCCGGGGCTGGGAGCTGGGGAGGGGACAGGCAGGACAGGTGGGTGGCAGTGCCCAGCCCTGCTGGCTCTGACCCCGCTGGGGTCCTGCACCAAATCTCCATGGTCACCACAGGGCTCTGGGCACGGCTTGGCCACCACCACCCCCCAACAAGTTGCCCCTAAACATCCCAGGCCAGGCACAGCCTCTGGGTGATGTCACTCTGTGCCCATGTCAAAATATCCTGGAGGCACCAAGCATCTTTTTAATGGAAATGGAGAGGGGTTTTTGTGTCCTGTAAAAAAATAAAAACCAGGTCTACGGAGTGCAAAGGCCACAAACCTGGCTTGGGAGCCAAAATGCATTTCTTACGTAAAAATGTACAATTCTCAGTGATGTTTGTATCGTTTCTCTACATTACAGAAAGCTTTCGAAAGAACAAACTGATCTGTGGTGTGTGTGAGTGTGGCTATTTTAGAATTTATTTCCATAAGTGATTTTTTTCTTAAAGATGTTTAATAGTAATTCCTATAATAAAGTCCTGTTGTACTCTTCACGCTGTATATTTTTTAACACTGTGTATTTTTCTATTCTTTACAGGGGGAAGAAGAAAGAAAGGGGGCTGGGGAGGGAAGGGGCAGCTCCAGCCCAGCCCCAGCTGTGCCTCTCAGATGCAAACGCCCCAAATCTGCCCTGGTTTGCTGCTCCTGATGGGGCTGAATTTGTGCCCGGTGGTTTCCTCAATAACCCATGAGCCATCCCTGGGGAAGCAGTGTCAGGGCCGGGGGGCACACGGAGCATCCCCCTGACTTTCAGGGACAGCACAGAACCCCCCTGTCCTGTGCCGGCTTTCATTTCCCGGCAGGATCGGAGCTTTCCAGCCTCGGGAACCTTCCCTGTGAAAGAAAAGCCTGTAAAAAGTCAGGGCATTATTGCCTTAAATGTCAAAAGCAGCGAAAGGCTGGAGGCAGCTCCCTCTGGAATTGCTCTCCTCGCAGGGACAGGGCTCTGCTTCCCGGCTGGGGCTGCCTGGGGATGGGGATGGGGCTGGGCTCGTCCGAGCCCGGCCATCCCCGCTGGCCCTGGTCTGCCGTGGAAATGTACTGCCCCCTTGCTCCGCCGGGCTGCAGGCTGCGAGCGGGGCTGCTGCGGCTTGTGCACCGAGCTGGGACCCGCTGGGACCCGCTGGGGACACACTGGGGACACACTGGGGCTGCTGCAGCTTGTGCACCGAGCTGGGACACGCTGGGGACACACTGGGGTCACACTGGGGCTGCTGCGGGGATGCACCGAGCTGGGAACACACACTGGGATCCCTGGGGTCACACTGGGGCTGCTGCAGCTCACACAGCGAGCTGGGAACACACGCTGGGATTTTCTGGGGTCACTCTGTCTGTGGGGCTGCCCAGGGCGGGCTCCGGCCATGGGGCAGCCCCCGGGCAGGGCTGGTGCTGTGCTGACCCCGCTGTCCCTGGTGTGGATCCCGCTGTCCCCTGTGCTGATCCCATGTCCCCTGTGCTGATCCCATGTCCCCTGTGGTGTTTTTATTTTTTTTTTTTTTTTTTTTATAAGTCAGGGTGGATTTTTGGGGTAAATAATTTCTTTTTTTTTAAATAAATTGGTGGGGATTTTTTAATTAATTGGGGTGTTTTTTAATAAATTGGGGTTTTTTTTAAAATAAATTGGGGTGGGGTTTTTATTGAATAAATCTGAGTGAGTTTTTTTTTAATAAGTTGGGGTGGTTTTGGGATAAATCGGGGGTGTTTTTTTTTAATAAATCAAGGGGTTTTTTTTAACAAGTTTGGGTGGGTTTTTTAGTAAATCAGGGTGTTTTTTAATAAATCGGGATTTTTTTCAATAAATCAGGGTGTGTTTTAATAAATTGTGATTTTTAAAAAAATAAATCAGGGGTTTTTTAACAAATCAGGGTGGGTTTTTCAATAAATCAGGAATTTTTTTAGTAAATCAGGGTAGATTTTTTAAATAAATCAGGGTGGTTTTTTAAATAAATTAGGATTTTTTAAAAATAAATCAGGGTGTTTTTTGATTAAATTGGGGTGGGTTTTTGGAATAAATTGGGGTGAACTTTTTCATAAATCAGGGTGGATTTTCTCATAAATCAGGGTGGATTTTCTCATAAATCAGGGTGGTTTTTTAATAAATCAGGGTGGATTTTTTAAATAAATCAGAGTGGTTTTTCTCATAAATCAGGGTGTTTTTCTCATAGATCAGGGGTTTTTTTTCATAAACCAGGGTGTTTTTCTCATAAATCCGGGTTTTTCCCATAACCCAGGGCGGGTTTGTGCCCTGCCCCGTTCCCAGCAGAGCTGGGGGCTCCTCTGGCCCTGCTCTGCTGCTGCCCCCCTGGCTCAGCTGCAGACCCACAGTTCCCCTCTGTGAGCAGGAGGTTCTACAGAGTTTATGGCAACGGCCCCAAGCCCTTCGAGCTGACCCAGTTAAACTTCAAATCCACTTGCCAGAGGTGAGATGATGGAACCAGAAATGTCCCTGAGGCTCCTCTCCCCTTCAGTCTGGGAGCATCTCTGAGTGTCAAAACCAACTTTGCCATGCAGGTTTGTTGAGAAATACAATGAGCTGGAGAAAGAAGGGAAAATTGAGGAGGAGAAACTGTTTGAAGAAACAGGAAAAGCCCTCTTGGCCAGTGGGATCCTTCTGCAGAGGAGAGGAGTGGATAGAGTGAGTATTGAACTGCCACAGGGGTTGGGAGAACTCCACTCCCAGCCCTCGGTGCTGGGAGATGAAATCCTCATTTCATGTGTCTCAAAGTGTCCTGGCTGTGCACAGAAAGCTTTCCTCTGGGCCATGAACAGGCTGAGGGGCTTGGAGGGGTTCCAAAAGGTGTTTTTCTGGAGATGAAATTGGGTAATCATTCAAATAATCCATGATGCATCTGTATGAAGCATCTGGAACTTTGTATTTTGAATTTGGAGGTCAGCAGCCTCTCTGGGGACACTGTGCTGTGAATGAAACTCCTCCTGCACACCCAGGGGCTGCTGCTCCCCTGTCACCCTTCAGAAGCTCTTCCCCTGCTCCGTGTGAGCTTTCCTGTCCTCCCTGCAGGCCTCCAGGGACCCTGCCCTGCAGCTGCAGGAGAAGAGGAAGGACGGGGAGCAGCCACCAGAGCTGGCAGGGACACACAGGGAGGGTCCCTGTCCCTCCTGACAGCCCTGTCACCTGCCAGACCTCCCTGGGGACACCCCCTGAGGAGCAGGGCCTGGTGCCCCCCATGGCACACGTGTTCCCCTCTGTCCAGCTCCACAGGGATAAAGTCACAGAAAATCTTAATTTTTGTTAGTGTTCACGACTGTTTTCTGCGATGGAGTTGGAAAATACCGAGTGTAAAAGTGGAAAATTAAAACATTTTCTTTAAAAACTGGGAGTTCTGCCTGTTCAGGTGTCTGGTGTGCAGAGTGTTGGTGAGGATGTTTCCTGCTGGGGGAGTGCAGATCCTGTTTGATGTGTTCCAGCAGCTGTCTGCAGTGTCATCTTTTTATAGCTGATGGAGAAAGGAGCTATTTATGGATGGAGTGCTGTAGTGTGCTCCTCCCAGCCCATCATTTCCTTAAATTCAGGTGTGGCAGGACCAGGAAATCGGGAGCTTTGCAGATTTTCGTGGCTCCTGATGAAACTGGCACCCTGTAAGTGTGAAAAGGGGATGCTGGCAGAAAGGTGATGCTGCTCAGGAGCAGTCACTGGAATTCTGGCAGGGACAAAAATAACAACCAGCCTTCCTGGGGTTAGGGGGGAGCTCTTCCCGTGCCTGCACATCCTGGCTGATCTTTCATTGAACATTTCTGGTTGGGCTCTGTGAAAAACAAACAGTTTGTTTTGTGTCTTTTTCTTTGTGGGTTCTTTTTTTTTTTTTTTGTGGTTTTTTTTTTTTGTGATTTTTTTTTTGTTTTCCTTTCGTTTGTGATTTTTAGCATCCCGGGCTGGCAGCACGCCCAGTCAGAGCTGTGAGTGGTGCCAGCCCCTCCCTCCCTCCCTCCGAGCCCGGTTTGGTGCTGCTGCTGTGGGTGAGGTGCAGGAGGGCTCGAGGCAGTGAAAAGCAGGGTGTGAAATGCCTGCTCTGCTTTCCGTGCCTCGGGTCACTGCTGGGTGCCGTGACTGCAGCAGAATTGCCCAGTTACCCCTGGAGGGTCAAACTTCACTCCCAGTTCTGCTCTTGTGGAGGAGCTGAACCCTCTCAGGGGTTTGTTCCAGAGCAGCAATCCCTGTGTTTTAGCACTGCCCCATTTCCAGCTCCAGCACTAACACCGAGTTCAGAGCCCTGGGCCTGAACGAGCTGCTGCCCAGAGCAGGTGAGGAGAACGCTGGAATTGGTTTAATTTTGTGTTGAAAAAAGTCAACCCCCTTGGGTTTGCCCTCGGGGGCAGCTGTGACCTGGGGGGGTGAGCTGGGACCCCTCAGGGGCTTTTCCTGCCCCTGGGAAGGTGATGGGGCCCAGCTGTGACCTGGGGGGGTGAGCTGGGACCCCTCAGGGGCTTTTCCTGCCCCTGGGAAGGTGATGGGGCCCAGCTGCAGCTCGTTAATTACTGTGGCCACAGGTGAGGGGTTTTGGGGCGATTGCCTCGTGCTGGGGGAGCCAAACCCGGGCAGGGGGAGGGCAGGGAGCCGTGGCTGTGAGGGGCAGGGGCTGCTCCGTGCCCTCCGTGCCCTGTCCTGCTCCTGCCCCAGCAGTTCCTGCGGCGCTGCCGAGTTCACCCCGACCTTCCGAGCCAGGTACGCGGCCAAACGTGCGGGAGAGCCTGGAAATCCGTGCGGGAGAGCCTGGAATCCGTGCGGGAGAGCCTGGAATCTGTGCGGGACCCTGTGTTTGAGAGGGAGGGGGAGCAGGAGCCGCGCCGAGCTGCGGTTTGGGAGCGCTCCCGGGCTGGGCAGGGCGGGCTGCGGCTGATGGAGGAGCCCTTGGAACGTTCAGCGCCCTGGATTTGCTGTGCCTGCTGGGTGGCGGGGATCCCACCGGGTCAGGGAGGCGAGCAGGAGCATTCGGGGCGGTTCGGATAAAACCAGTTAAACCAGTTAAACCAGCGAGTCTGAGCAGCGCTGGGTGCGCGCGTGTGCCGGGCTGGAGCGCGGTGCTGATGCTCGGGACCTGCTGCAGCTGCGGGAAATCAATTAACGAGTTGTGGGCAGCAGCCGGGGTGGGGTTTGTCACCGTGCGGGCGTTTTCCCGGCTCTGGGGGTCCCCGGTGCCCCGGCGCTCCCCGCTAGGTGGGAGCCGCGCTCCGCGGGACCTGCCGAGCCCTCCGGGGCGGGCAGCGCCGCCTCGCCGGGCTCCGCCGGCCGCGAGCCCCAGCTTCCAGCAGGGAATCTCTGAAAGGCACCGCGGCTTCCCCGGGATGCACCGGGGGGATGCACCGGGGGGATGCACCCGGGGGGATGCACCCGGGGGATGCACCGGCGGGATCCCGGTGATGCCGAGCGCCGGGCTGCGGGGATTGCTGCCCCGGGCAGGGCAGAGGCTGCTCCGGCGCTTCCCGGGCTGTGTCCCCGTGCCCAGGAGCCCTGCGGCCCGGTGTGTCCCCAGGAGCGCTGGTTTCTGCCCGGTGACCTCTCCTGCGCCGCGGGGACAGCTCCTGCCGCTGCCTGCCGGGCTGTTTCGGGGACGGTGGATGCCGAATATCGCTTACACGGAGCCCTGGCTCCCCAGGCTGCACAGGGAGCGGGCAGGGACGCCTTCCTCAGCCCAGAGCCAGCTCCCAAGCTGAGGGTCTGGGGGTGCAGAGCTGCCTGCCCTCTGGCAGAATGCAGGAGTGCTGGTGCAGGGGGGACTGCAGGACCCTCCCAGGGATGCTGCAGCATTCCTTGCACTGATGTTCACCCAAACAATGCAGGGGTGTCCTGCTGGAACAAACAGCTGCAGTCCCACGGGTCAGGGCTGCAGAGCCGGGCTCTGAGCTCGGGCTCTGTTTTAACCCCCAGGCAGCTGCTCCCAGAGCCCTGCTCAGCCCCCTCACGTGTTCCTGGGCCGTGGATTATCTGCTGCTATGTGTTGAGGGCAGGGGAGCTAAGGATTTAATAGGATCAGGTCTAATGTCTGGAGCAGCCAAAATAATTCATCAGCTTTGCTGGAAAACCAGGTGATCTGACCTTGCCAGTGCCAAGCTTCACCGAGGCAGATAATAAATGGTTTAGTGTTTAAAGAACATGGCTCCAAATAAGATATAAAATTGTTGGCATTGCCGCTCTGTGGAATCCTCTGGGATTTGCCTCTGCCCAACCCTGTTGAACACACACATCTGGTCTTCAAACCTGCCCTGTTTTGAGCTTTGGAATATTCCAGAAATCTGCATCTGCTAGGAAAATGCTGTGGGATCAGAGCAGGGTGCTGGCTCTGGGGTGCTGATCCACCCTGGAGAGGGGATGGCACAGGAGTGGCACTGCTTTGCAACACCTGGGCGGTGTCAGCTCTGCCACCTGCCTGCTTCTGGCTCTAAACTGGGGCTTTTTCATTAGTTTGGTTAGGTGCTTTTTGTACTGTTCTGCTTCTGCAGCACCAGCAATGCCCGTGGCACAGAAATTGCTGCTCTGAGAGCTCCGGGCTGTGTCAGGTGCAGGGCAGGAGGGTCAGAGCAAACAGAACAGCGGGCTGAGCTCAGCAGTGGCTGATGGAGCTGCTGCTGTTTCACCAGTGAATGTCGAGTCCTGGCAGGGCCTGACCCCCTCCTTGGTCAGTTCTGGTGGCAGCCAGGTCAGCTGGAGGGGCTGAGCCCCCGAGGGACCCCACTGCGGGGGGAGCTCACTCTGGGCACAGCCGTGCACTCGATGAACATTTTGGCAATCATTGCAGGAGGGCCGGGCTGCGTCGTGTCCAGCTCAGCCTGGCTGCCAGGGGCTGCTCTGCTGGCAGGGAGGGAAATGCTGCCCCAGGAAACCCCTGTGGCCTCGGTGTCTGTGCCGATGTCCGTGCCGGTGTCCCTGCCCGGGGCCGGTGTCCCTGCCCGGGGCCGGTGCCGCTCCCCCCGGCTGCCCCGCGCCCGGCCCTGGCCGTGTCCCCCTCCCCGCAGTGCTCTGGGCTGTCCCCGCTGCCGGGGGTCCCGGTGGCCCGGCTGCCCTTGGCTCTGTGTGTCCCCGCGCTGCTGCTGCCGCCTCTCTGCATATTGCCGGCTCATTCTGATGTGCGCTAATGCTATTATCCTGCAGAAATTGAAATCAAGTCTGAACCTATAATGTTTCACTGGGAGGGAATTGGGGTTATATATTCCTGTGTACAGCAGCATTCTATTTCAGTCATAGCATTTAATTATGATTGGTGTGTTAGTGCCCACCAGAGCATAACAAATTGTCATTATGTTATTCTGCTGAGTCTAATTTAATTGGCAAGTTGTCACAAAAGCAATTATCCATCATTTATTTTGTTGCCATAACCACATCTTGGAGAGCACCTGCTGTCTGAAGTGGAAAGGCTCTGCAGTCTCTTGGTCCTGGATTTCTTCCACTCGCCTGACACAAAGACACCATTTCCTCCTCTTATTTAAAAACGTGTTCCTCGTTTCCCGGCGTGGGCAGGGCTGGGGATGCCGGAGGGAATGCTCAGGGCAGGCAGAGCCCTGCTGGGACATCCCGGGGCTGCTGTGACCCACAGGGACGCGGGGCCAGCCCAGGGCAGTGTCTGGGTGGTGCTCGGGTGTGGGAGCCTCTCCTTGCTTTGCAGAGCTGGGGTGAACTAAGGAGAGAAAGGAAAACTGGAAATGAGACATCCCCTGCCTGGAGTAAACACAGCTCTTGGCTTCTTGCAAATAATTTTGGGGGAAAACGAGGAGGGGAAGAAAGCCCGTGAGCTACTGGTGGTTTATTTTGGGGGCTGCAGGGCTCAGCCCTGGCCCTGGGAGCCTGGCTGGCTCTGGAGCTGCTCAGTGAAGGAGCAAACAGCCGGGGCTGGGGCTGGTGCTGCCCATCCCCAGCCTGGCTCCGGGGCAGCCCCGCTCAGCACGGGCACCCTGGGCACCTCGGCTGCCCTGGCTGCCCTCCCCTGGCTCCCAGGGCCGCTGGAATCCACCCCAGAGCCCGGCTGCTCGGCTGGTGCTGTCCATCACCAGCCTGGCTCCGGGGCAGCCCCGCTCAGCACGGGCACCCTGGGGCACCTCGGCTGCCCTGGCTGCCCTTCCCTGGCTCCCAGGGCCGCTGGAATCCACCCCAGAGCCCGGCTGCTCTCCACGGAGCGAGTTTCAGATAAGGCATCTGG